TTCCTTCCCCTCCCTCCCTTCCTTCCCTCCTCCCTCCCTCTCTCCCTCCTTTCCTTCTTTTCTTCCTTGCCTCTTTCCTTCCTTCTTTCCTTCCCTCCTTCTTCCCTCCCTCCCTCCCTTCCTTCCTTTCTTCCCTCCTTCCCTCCTTCCTTCCTCCTCAGTCCCCATAGTCCCCTCTCTCTCTTCAGGGTCCCATTCTTCTGGTTCTGCTCTCTGCTTAGGCACGTAGGCACCCTGGGTATCCAGCCCCCAGCAATTCCCCTTGGCTTCCTCTCCTTTTGGGGATGTCACTGAGCTAAAGGAAGTTGGCCATCCTCCTTCTTGCCAGTTTTTCAGGGACTTCCTGTCCTGGGAAAGGTGTAATGAGAGAGAGGGTGTTGGGTGGGAAGGCGTTTGGGGATTCATGGACACACGCTGGAGAGAATATCAGGTTTTTATCAGGCTACATTGGAAAAGGGAGGGGATCCATGGAAAGGTCAGATAGAGAGAGACCTGGGCTGATCACAGGAAGGATGGAGTGAGAGACATTGTAGGGAAGAGAGAGAGCCTATGAAATCATAGAGAAGAGAGAGATCTTGGGAGGGTCCTAGGGCAGTAGAACTCTAACAATTACAGGAAAAGAGATGTCTGGAGATGACAGAAGAGAGACCCAGGGGAAGTCACGAGAATGGAAAGATTTGGAGGAGTCAACAAGCACTGAAGTGCCTACTATGTGCCAGGTGCTGCGCTGAGAGCTAGGGTACAAGGAGGGCGGAGAGCAGGTTTGGCTCTCAAGGGCTCACAGTCTAAGAGGGGTCATCAGAAGGTCTCAAGGAAGGAGATTGAGAAGAATAATAATAGCCAGCATCACTTTACAAACATTATCTCACGCAATCCTCATAGCAGCCCCGGGAGATAGAAGCTAGTATTATTCCCATTTTACAGAGGAGGAAACTGAGGCAGACAGAAGTGACCGAACTTGCCTAGGGAGTCCTCAGCTAGGAAGTGTCTGGGGCTGGATTTGAACTCTAATCCTCCTGATTCCAAGTCTGACTCTGGGTGTACTGGGGTGCCCCCTAGCTGTCTTGCTATATGAGGGTCCTGAGGAGGGAGACCTGCATTTGGGAATCACAGAGAAAGGGAGGACTTGGGACAGGGGGAGTTGGTGGGGGGAGGGTCACAAAGAGAGTAGGCTACAAAGGGGTCATTGGGTCAATGGGCCTTAGAGAAGTCCTGTAATCACCCTGTCGGTGTTTTGTACCTACTTCGATGGGTCCACACTGTTTCTCCCGATACGGGGGAGGGCAGAGACAGTTTCATTTTCTTCTTTGGGGTGTTTCTGTCCTAGGTGAATGGACAGAATGTTGTAAAGGTTGGGCATCGGCAAGTGGTCAATATGATCCGCCAGGGTGGCAATACCCTGATGGTGAAGGTGGTGATGGTCACACGGCACCCAGATATGGACGAGGCTGTCCACAAGAAAGGTGACCTGTTCCCTGATCCCCAAGGGCCCTCTGGGACCAGACCTCCAAGTTCCCACCCAAGGCACCCTGACCAGCCTCTCCAGGTCCCACTAGCCTGCCACTTCCTAACCATGGGCCTATGGGCCAGTCACTGAGCTTGTATGAAGTGGAGTTAATCCGCCTATCTCCCCCACCCCCAGTCTAATGAAGGGGATGTGATCTTTTACCCCTTGGGAAGTGTGTGCACATTGTAGGTCCTTAAGACATGCTCATTGACTGAGAAACTCTGTCTGATGGGAAAGACCCAGACCTGGTCCTTGCTAGGGGTATCTCCCACCCCAGAGGGACCTTAGTGTGGATGGAGAAGATGCAGACCCATGCGTTGCGCCACCACTATGGCACTAACTCAGCTGCTCATTCTTTCAGTGCCCCAGCAGGCTAAGCGTCTCCCAGCCCCTGCCATCTCATTGCGGTCTAAGTCCATGACTTCGGAGCTGGAGGAGATGGGTGAGGCGGGATCGAGCGGGGCAGAGAGGAGGGGACCAGGGGTTTGTTAATGTCGTTAGTGCAGCGCCTCCTGGAGCCCGCAGTGTCTGGCCCACTGTCGCTCTGGCTTTGCTCCTGGTCTGGTCTCCATGTCCTCGTCCCTCTCTCCATTTCTGTGTCTCAGGCTCTTTTGCAGTTTGACAGATAGTAGAGTAGATGAGTTCTGGACCAGGGGGTCCAAAGACTTGAGTTCTAGTCCTGGCCTGACCACATGCCAACCAGGGGACCTCTGGGTCCCAGTTCCCTGATATGTAAACTGGAGATAATACAAATACAACAAACATGGCTAAGCACCGACTGTAGCTTGAGCACCGTGCTGGTCCTCAGGAAAGGGGGCATAATACCAAGGTTAGACAGACTTGGTCCCTGCCCACTTTCTGCAAGGTGCATAGAGCCCAGCCCCACGCCCCGCCTTACAGGAGTGTTATGAGCAAAGTGCTTTGTAGGCCAAAGAGCTATAGAAATGGGAGCTGAGATGTGCCCGTCTCTTGCTGTCTTTCTGTTTCTCTGTGTGCCCCTCACTCCTTCCTCCCTCCTCCCTCCTCACTGGCCACCCATGACAGTACAGGAAGGTTCGACCCACCCCTAGGGCTTCAAGAGAGGGACATGGCCCCCTGGGAGGGCAGGTTTCCCTGGGGGTGAGGGGCGGGCAGTTTCCAAGACCCTGGGCCGCCCCCCCTCACCTCCTAATTCTTGGCTCCTCTGCTGCTCCCCCCGGCTAGTCTCCCCCTGGAAGAAGAAGAGTGGTGAGTGGGTCCCAGGGCTGGGGGGAGGGCCCCCAGGTACATCCCTGTCTTGTCCCCCTCCAACTAGCCCCCCAACTCTGGTGGCCCCAGGGGATAATCCTCCACTTCCAGACAATCCATTGGCACCCGCTGTTTCACCCAGCTGGTAGACCCTTTGTTCTGTTCTCCCCCCATGCCTGGGGTCCCACTGATCATCATCTGCCTCTATCCACAGACTATGAGCAGGCACCAATGCCCAGCGTGGAGAAGAAGAGGACAGTCTATCAAATGGCACTGAGTAAGCACCAGCTCCTGCCCCCACACCCAAGCCTGCTCCTTCCCATCCCTGGCCATCCCTCTCCACACAACACCTTTGCCTTTCTGTCTGGTCACACACTCCAGCCCACTCCACCGTCCACTGCCCCATTCTCTGTGGTCCCTCAGTCTGCCCATCCCAACATCCTGTGCCCCTATTCATTTTGGCTTTATACTCTGTTCTCCCATTGTGACCCCCCCCCAGTTCTATCTCTACCCTCTCTCTTCCCGCTTTCCATCCCCATGCTTTGTCCCTGACTCTTCTGTCTGTCCTCACACTTGGTCCCTCCTTCTATTCTGTCCCCTCCCCAGTTCTATCTCTACCCTCTCTCTTCCTGCTTTCCATCCCCATGCTCTGTCCCTGACTCTTGTCTGTCCTCACACTTGGTCCCTCCCTCTATTCTGTCCCCCCACCCAGTTCTATCTCTACCCTCTCTCTTCCTGCTTTCCATCCCCATGCTCTGTCCCTGACTCTTCTGTCTGTCCTCACACTTGGTCCCCCCAACCCAGTTTTGTCTAGTCTTGTATTCTGCCTCTCCTTTTCTGCTCATCCTCACTTAACTTGGTCAGTCACTATCATACGCCGCCTCCCAACACCAATTTTGTCTGTTCCTTAAACTTGTCATCGCTGTGTGTCCATGACTGTGTCTGATGTGAATGTTCCCAGGGTTGATCTATCCTCCTCTCTCCCCTCTCCCCTTGGCCTCCCCTCCCCTTTGTCTCTCCACACTCCCGCCGGCTTTCTTCCTTCCCTCTCCCTTTCGGTTTCTCCCCCCCAACCCCAGCCCATTTTTCTTTCCCTACACTGCATCCACTGAGCCCCGGTCACGCCTTCTGCCCTGCTCTCCTGCCTCCCCCCAGAGTCCACCCAGTCGTGGAGAGTGACAGAAAGGGGTTGGGGAGGAGAGGAATTGGCTTGGTTTGCAGGTGAGGTAGAAGCGACCTTACCATGTGCCCTCCCTCCCTGCAGACAAACTAGATGAGATCTTGGCAGCTGCTCAGCAGACGATCAGTGCAAGCGAGGGGCCCGGGCCAGGCGGCCTTCCTTCTCTGGGCAAACACCGAGCCAAGGGCTTCTTCGCCACTGAGGTAAGGAAACAAGCGATCGGCAGTTAGAGACCTGTCGGGTCAGGGGCTGGGCTGCTCTCACCCCAGTCCAGCTTCTGAGGAGCCCCGGTTCTCCTCTCCTAAAACCCAGGGAACACAGTCCTGCCTCATTTCTAGCCCGTCTGGGCCTCTGCTCTCGCCATGTTGTCTGTCTGTCTGTCCGTTTTCAGTGTCTAGCACCACTCACCCTACTCCTGTTCTCCTCATTGGCTCTGCCCTCCTCCCTGGCCTCCTCCGTTCCCAGGCCTGGCCGTGATCCCTGTCCCCACCCCCAATTCTCTCACTCTTATCCATCCCTTCCTTCACCAGCCATCTCTCTTTCTAGCTCTATCCATCCCTTTCCTCCTTTCCTATCTTCTTCCCATTGTGTTTCCCCTCTCCCTCCCTCCCTTCCTTTCCCCTTCCCTTTCTCCTTCCCTCCCCATCCCTTTCTTTCCTCTTCCCTCCCTCCCTTCCTTCCCCCTTCCCTTTCTCCTTCTCTTCTCCATCCCTTTCTTTCCCATTCCCTCCCTCCCTCCATTCCTTCCTTTCTTCTATCCTCCTTCAGCCCTTGGAGCTGTTCTCTTTTCCTCTTCTCTCTGTGTCCTCCATTGACCCTTCCATGATGAAATGAGACAGGAACTCACTACTCAAAGGCCATTCTTGCCAGTTGGGCTTGTAGGCTCCTGGGATTTCTGCTGCCATGCCAAAGACAAAAAACAGATCAAGTCTGTCCAGACTTCCCCAATTCTGTTCGATTCAAGAGGCCTTTGTCAAGCAACTCCATTGTGCCCAGCACTATTCTAGATTCTAAGGATGCAAACTCAAGAATGATGGCTTCAAAAGGCTTTCAGGTCTTGAAGGCAGGGGCTTTGGATCTTTGTGTGTCCTGGACCCCTTGGCAGAAAGCACAAGTGAAAACAAACCAGAGGATCATCAAAGGGAGGGGGGGAAACCAGCATTTATTAAGTACCTACTGTGTGTTAGGACCTATGCTAAGCACTTTACAAATATCTCACTTGGTGAAGGAACCTGATTAGATTGAAATAGTTACCAAAATATTTTTTAAAGCAAGCTCATGCTCCTGCTAGAATCTCTGCACTGACTCCCCGCGTCCCCAGGTTAAGAACCCCTTTACTAAGGGAATCTGGCATGACACAAAGAAAAAAGTGCTTTCAAGAGGGAGGAGACTCTGACCACTGAGGGGATTAATTGCCCAAACCCCAGTTACCTCAGTCACTGTTCTCTCCACCTCTGTCTTCCTTTTTAGACAGTTAGCTTGAGTTCATGCATGCACACACACATGCACACACATGCCTACACACATGCTAACAATACACCATGCAGCACAGTGTCATACACACACATGCATAGGTGCATGCACATACATTCATGCAAACACATTGCACACACATACACGTTATACACGTAATACACAGCATTGTGCGTGCACACACATACCCATGTATACATACACATATGTCTACACACATGCATACATGCCGTCTTTTTTGCAAGTAAGAACTATCAGTTTCTGGAATGTTCTGGTTCTACCAATGACCCATTCATAGGGCTTTGGGCATGTTACTCCAGTTGGAGTCTCTGTTTTCTCACCCGTAAAATGAAGGGTTTGGAACTTTGGACTACATTATTTTTAATGTCACTTCCTACTTAAATATTCTCCATGCATGAGAAGTATGTCCGGGTAGGCTGGAGCCAGCTGTTATCACAATGAGAGAGTTGGTTGTTAAATGTTCAGTATGAACATTTACACCTCAGAAATCAGAAAATGCTACATATCAGGCTTGACTAATTGTTTTGTTGGTTTTCTAAACTTGAGAAAGTGATGGAGAAAAGGTTAATGATGCAGATAAAAAAGTGTTAAAAGTGTTTCATGCGGACATTTCTTCCCCTGGGAGAGCTGGTTATTAAATGTGTATAGCACACCTCTGACTACCAAGAGGGAGATATCCTAGGACCTCCTCCAGCCCTGCCTTCTGCGTTTTCCATGGCTCTTGAGAGCCCTTTGTCAAAGCATCTTCCTTTCCCAAATCTCAGTCTTCCTCTTCCTGGGCACAGCCCTCCTGCAAGTCTTGTCTGGCTTAAGACGTACAGTGGTGCTTGGCCCTCTCTTACATGTAATAGGTCTTAGACCTATTACAATTGATTTGCTTTCTGGTGAAACTGCAGCTCCTGGGGCCTCTGCATGCATTCACTTTCCCCAAAGTCAAGATGCTTCATCTCTTTTTATCTTCTTTTATCTCACTTCCCCCAACAGAGACTTGGCTACTCTGGCCATGAATGACCCAGGTTTTGAAGAGATCATTCCTTTCTTTAGTGCCCCCCCCCGCCTTCCTGGTGACAGAGCAGTCTTTGTATATTTGTAACAGACTTCCATGTCAAACGTATGGGAGGATATGGACCAGGGTCACATGGGATAGGCCGCAATTGACATCAGTGGACAGAGTGGACGAATGAACGAGATCACCAAATTCACTTCAGTGCTTGAGTAGTCAATTTCTAGAACATATTTATGTTGGACACAAAATCATAGGATTTTAAAGCAGCAAGGACAGTGAGAGCCCCCCTGCCATTTCCAGGCTCTCCCTCTGCCCCTGTCCCTCACTGACGTCTCCTCCAATCCATATCTGCCTCTCTGTCAAGGTCCTGGTAGCCGTTGTCTACCGACCCCAGGACTCTCCTGCCTTCATCGATGAGGTCAGTTCTGGCCTACGGTCTTTGACTGCTCACCCTCTCAGCCCTATATCCAACTTGTTCCCAAGCCCTGCCAATTCTATAACTGTAACATCTCTTGTATACACCTTCTTTTCTTTTCTAACCCCCCCCTCCCCCCCCCCCCCCGCCCCATACAGGCCCTCCTCACCTCACACCTGGACTTTTGCAAGAACCTACTCGTTGGCTTTCTTGCCTCCAGTATCTCCCCACTCCAGTTTATCCTCCATTCAGCTGTCAAAAGCGACCTTCCTAAAGCACAGATCTGACCATGTCACCCCCTAATTCAATAAAGTCCAGTGACTCTCTGTCACCTCTGTTTGATGTTCAAAACCCTTCATAATGTGCCCCGCCTACACCTTTCCAGTTTCCTTACACCTTGACCCTCTCCACATACTCAGACTCAGACACTGGCCTCCTGGCTGTTCCTCAGACACAACACTTGATCTCTAGGCTCTGGGTGTTTTTCTGGACCGTTCCCCATGACTGGAATCTGCCTCCTGGGGTGCTTAAAAGCCCTGCTAAAATCCTCCTTCTCCGACAGGCCTCTCTCCTGATGCCTTCGTCTCAGTGCCTTCCCTCTGTTAATTATCTCCCGTGTATCCTGTCTAGATCTTGTTTGTATGCAGTCATTGGCATGTAGTCCCCCCAAATAGACTTGAGGTCCTTAAGAGCTGGGACTGTTTTTTTCCTTCTTTTGTATCCCCGGCTCTTAGTGCAATGCCTGGTATGCAGTAGGAGCTTAATCAATGCCTGTTGGCTGACTGACTTAGAGGACATTTATACAATATTTTCATTTCGTTTCATTTTTAAAAATGCTGTTTATTGATGTCTTTTGTCTTTACAACCCAGTCATTGAGAAGGAAGAAACCCTCTCCCACTCACACTGAACCCAAAACACCCAATTGTAGCGGCCACATTGGCCAATGTATATCACATTCTGCCCTAGTCGTACCCTGACCTTCAGGCATGGGGAAGTAGAGATGCTTCATTATCTGCTCTCCAAGACCATCACTGGCTTTCCAATTACTCAGTTTGGCTTTCTTTCAGTAATTTTTCATGTTCTGCTTCTCATTTTAAAGAACAGAAATCTGAGGCTTAGGGGAGAGAAGTGACCTGCTGAAAGTCATTCAGTCAAGTTAGTGGGAGAGATGGAATTTGAATCCATCTCTTTTGAACCCCAGTCTAAGTGCTTTCCACTGTGCTCGCTGCCTCTGGGTTGACTCCGATATCCATCCCCTATCTGGCTCTGGCTCTGTCTGCCCCCTAAACTCATTTCTCCTGAGTCTACCAGCCTGTGTTCCTCAGATATTTTGTAATTAGTTTTGTTTAACATACTTTATTTTCTAATATTCACTGTTTTAAATTTTGAGTTCTAAATTCTCTCCCCTCCAACTACTCCCCCACCTATTGAGAAGGCAAGCACTATGATACCCAGTATATATGTGAAGTCATACAAAACATATTTCCAAGTTATCCACATTGCAAAAAAAGGCAAGAAAAATAAAGAAAGTCAAAAAACTGCTTCAATTTGCATTCAGAGTCCATCAGTTCTCCCTCTGGAGACGGGCAGCATTTTTCATCAGGGGTACTTTGGAATTATCTTAGATCATTGTCATGATCAGAGTAGCTAAGTCTTTCGCAGCTGATCATCGTTACAATACAGCTGTTACTGCGTCCAGTGTTCTCCTGGTTCTGCCCACTTCACTTTGCCTCCATTCATATGCAAACCTTCCTAGGTTTCTCTAAAGCCATCCCCTTCTTTATTTCTTACAGCATAATAGTATTCCACCCCAATCACATGCCACAGCTCGTTTGGTCATTCCCCAACTGATGAGCATTCTCCTGATTTCCAATTCTTTGTCACCGCTAAAAGAGCTGTTATGAGTATTTTTGTACATATGGGTCCTTTTCCTTTTTCTCTAGTCTCTTTGGGATATAGAACTAGTAGTGGTATGCTGGGTCAAAGGGTATGCACACTTTTATAGCCCTTTGGGCATAACTTCAAATCGTTTTCCAGAATGGTTGGACTGTTTCACAACTCAACCAACAATGCATTAGTATCCCAATTTTTCCACATCCCCTCCGACATTTCTCATTTTCCTTTTATGTTATGTTAGCTGAACTGATGGGTGTGGGGTGGTACCTCAGAGTTGTTTTAATTTGCATTTCTCTAGTTATTAGTGATTTAGAGCATTTTTATGTGACTATTGCTACCTTGGATTTCTTCTTCTGAAAATTGCCTGTTTATATCCTTTGATCATTTGTCA